CCTTGCGCCACTGTAGTTTAGCGGCAAAGCATCGTGGCTTTTTTGCATTCACTGGTGTCATTACATAGTCAGACCTGGCCATGTGGCAACGTGATACCATCGTGTCCCCTAAATGATCCCCGGGAAGAAGAGAGCCTGGATTAGAAATCCAAACAAAACCAAGGCACCCAAGTAGCGGCAGCAAAACAGGGATGGAGAGCTGCCAGCTGCTGCAAATGGCAGCAAAGGAAGTTGCTGCTGTAATTTCAGCAAATGTTTTGTTCCCCCCGGGAGTTTTTATTTAGCCTCAAAGTAGAGAATGAAAATTCTGTGCTGCCCTAATTTTCAACTTTGTTAAGTATTTGAAAATGTGTACTGTATTGGCTACAACTGAGATGTTCACCGAGAAAGCTGAATTCTGCCACAAAATCAATGAAGCATCCTTTTTTGCATCATTCTGGAGTTGTGTGGAGCGACTGGGACTCACCACTATGGTTACTACAACCATGCGTTGCCCACACATTTCCATGCCTATCTTCAGCAATTTGCTAGCCCTCAATGACTGTGATTAAGTATCTAAATATGGAAGCTGAGGTTCTCAAGCATGTATTCTCTCATGAATTCTGTGTGCCATGCTGAAGTCTGCATTTTTCCCTAAAACGTAACGAACAAGGTAGAAACAGCTGCTGCACAGAAGGCATAATATTGTGATCATAGGAAATTTTGCGGCAGGGTTGAGTTGAAGCACTGATTCATAAGTAAGGCTTTGGGCAAACCCAGATTCTTTATCCAAAGTGGGTTAAGTTTCTGTCCATGTCACAAAACTATTTTAGATAGCTGATCATCTTGGAAAGTATTTAAAGTCTCTTTAAAAAAAACAAAACAAAAAAACCCTTCATGGCCTCAAATGCCTTCCAAAAATGAGTCTTGAGCTCTGCTGAGAAGGTGCTGCTGCAGTGAAGACTCCATTCCTTTCAAATGGCAACTCAAGCTGCCGGTAGAAGCAGAATCCAGAGCCTCTCCAGGAGATCAAAGGCACTGGGGAGGTTCTTGTGCGTGGCCTTTTGTTGGCAGCCTCGTCTGTTCTGTTCTCAATATAAGCAAACAAGGGAAAATGTGGCGAGGTAATACGCTTGCCAGCTCTTGGTTGGGAAACATGTGGAGATTCTGGGGGTGGAGCTTGGGGAGGGACTTCAGCAGGATGTAATGCCATAGAGTCCACGTTCCAAGTCAGCCATTTTTCCCAGGGGAACTGATTTTGATCATCTGGAGGTCAATTGTAATAGCAGGAGATCTCCAGGTGCCACCCAGAGGTTAGTGACCTAGTTAAAGTTGTGTGTGCCCCTGGGAGGGGTATGTTAGAGCATGGGTAGTATGTAGGGCTGCCAGGTCCTGTCTGGCAGCTGGTTGGGGGATCCTTGGTCCTTTCTGGGATCTTCTGTCGTGCATATGAAGCACGTGCAGCGCAATGACATCACCCGGAAGTGATGTCATCATGTAACCGATGGTTTGCCCAAAGACTAGAGCATTGCCATGCAACGTCAGCAATGTGATGATGTCACTTCCCGGTGATGTCATCATGCTGCCTTTTGGGCCAGTTGGGGGTGGGGCAACCCTAGTAGTATGGACTGGTCTTGTGCCTTAGGAGAAGGTGTAGAAAGCTGAGGTGTTCGTGCCGTTGTTTGAGATGGGTGGTTTAAATTCAGCGGGCTCAGAGGGTGCCTTTTGAACAGAGTAGGCCTCCAGTTACTTCAGCTGCTGTAGAATACAGTTGCCCACCATTTTGCCTGAGGCAGAACGCCGTGATTATATTTATCAACTTCATTGACTACTAATGGACTTCCAAATTCAATTCAAGATGCTGGTATTAACCTTGGGTTGTATTTATTAACTTTGCTGTTGATCACCTCCAATGCAAGGAGGTGAGATGTAAATCCCGAAATAATATATATTTAAAATATATATTTAAAACCTTGTGACTGGCTAATTGATGACTGTTTAGAGAGAAGTGCCTGCTTATACTCAGGCTTGGAATGTCGCACTGCATAATTATGAAGTCCTGTTTATCTCATGACCTCTAGGGAAAGTTATAACACATTTTAAAAGTACTGTCCTAAATAAGGGGGATCTGTACAGTGGCCCTCAAACTTTTGCTTGTTAACTTATTACCTTTGTAACAACCGTATCCTGGAATAAAGCCTACACTTTAAGATGACGTATTTGGCAACTTCTAGATTGAGAGAGACTCTGTGGCAGAAGTGTAGCGGCCTACTGGACCACGTCTGTTTGCTTCCATTTTAGGTTGATGGAAGCTTACAGAATTGTGTAGTTGTGAGGAAAGATGGCCCACTTCTTTTCTTCTTTCTCTCAAAGGAAAAAAAATACTTTTAAAAAAGGACTGTGTACTGCACTAAAACAATTTCTGGTTTGGCTGTATGCTAAATTTGGCTGCTGCCATCCTAACATCTAATTAGATGAGAAATAAAATGGTATCCTATATATATGTGTGTGTGTGTGTAGAAGTTCCTGTTTGGTTTAACTTTAGTGAATTATTCCCCCCCACACCTCTGTTTTTGCATTGATACACAGGATTTTTGTGTGTATGTATGATGGCATTTTAGTAACTGTTCAGAAGCTAAAGAGTGATTACCTAAGTAGGTGGGACAGATGAGATAGTATGACTTTAAAAACAGTGGTTGGCCTGTGAATTTCACTGCATAACAATATCCATGTTGTTTGGAAGTAGCATTGCTGTGTTATCTCAGGATGTGAGGTGCATGAACAGGAGCTACTCAACCAGAAGAATGCCACTGCTGGTAGAATTCTGATTCACAGCCTTTACCAAGCAGATGTGCGATTTACAGCACTTTGCCCGCTGAGCACAACTTTAATCTTGCTACAGTAATGTTATGATACATCAGTGAAAATTGTTGACACTTTCTAGTTGAAAAACTGACCAGAGACGCTGCATGCTCTTCATCTTTTTTCATCTTCGTTCGGAAGAAGAAAATTATCGCAACGGTAGACTATTCCGGAGACCATCATTAACAACCACAGTTTAATAATCACAGTTTTGAATAATTATTTATGTATTTTGTATTCATCTTTTGTGCTTTGGCTTTATCATTGATGTAAAGATTTAGGAGCTGCGGTGGCTCAAGTGGTCAAGACACTGAACTGCAGGCTGTGGAAGGTCAGTAGTTCAGCAGTTCAAGACCCGGGTGCCGCAAGAGGGGGTGAGCTCCTGTCTCTAGTTCTAGCTCCTGCCAACCTAGCAGTTCAAAAGCAAGAAATTGCAAGTAGATAAATAGGTACCACTTCGGTGGGAAGGTAACAGCGTTCCGTGCGCCTTAGTGTCTAGTCATGCCGGCCACATGACCACGGAAATGTCTTCGGACAGCGCTGGCTCTTCGGCTTTGAAACGGAGATGAGCACCGCAACCCTAGAGTCGGATTCGACTGGCTTTCGAGCAAGGGAACCTTTACCTTTTAAAAGATTTATTTAGCGCTAACATTACACAGTTTTCTGGTATTTTTTGGATTGTCTTATCAGCTGTTACCATCGTTTGGCATAGACCAGAATCTGCTACCAGTCTTTGGTTGTGATGGTTTCCACTGAGTTACTGTGCTGCTTAATGTCTGATGGCTTTTCATTAATACTTATTGCTGGATTTAAATTGGTACATTGCTGCTTTTATTTCCTTTTTGAATTGAGCTTTATTAATGGTTCAGTTGATGTTTTATGGATTTTTAAAGAACTGCTTCCGGTTCTTTCTTTTAGCCTAACTGTGTTTCATGGTAGTTATATGTTGTCTCAGAAGTATACTCATTGAGTGCTTGGGTTACAGGTATTAACTGTTTTCCTTCTCAGGAGAAGACTTTTGTCTATTGTAAACCTGAACCCCTGATATGGAACATTCTTGCATGTTTCAGTTGGTTTGGGTCATTTTGTACATTGTACAGCTCCAGTCCTGAGTTTGCCATCCATTGCACCAGTGGAGGCTGCCACTAATTGCATCTGCCGATTGAACATGCTTGATAACACATTTGTGTTGCCTTAATACTTAAGAAGGCCTATTGTATAAAAAATGAAATATGGAGTATATAGGTAACAATCTGCTTCCTTCATCTGAGAGAGAGTTCACTTTGCAGTTTCACAGATAACAAATCGAGGTTGAATAGTTCCAAGCTGCCTAATAGCAGCTGATGAATCCATGATTATGTTGGGAATGTATCCTGGTTGTTTCTGGTTCAAGTGCATACATTATCCATTAGACCCTTAGTTACTTGTGAGTATTACTGGCAGACTGATGACCTGCACCCACATGGTCTGAGTTCCGCTTATGGCTTCTAATACATCCTTAGGAACGGCTTCTTGGAGTGTCTCCTGTTGCTGTCTCATAATTACCGTATTTTTCGGACCATAAGACGCACCTGACCTTAAGACGCACCTAGTTTTTAAAGGAGGAAAACAGGGAAAAAAATATTCTGAACCTTCGGTCCATAAGACCGTTGGAAGAAAAAGTGAGTCTTATGGTCCAAAAAATATGGTGTTACAAATGATCCTTGACTAATAATGAACATGCTAACACGTTTGCTACATGACATAACTTACATTGTTTGAGTGCAGTCTGTGGTTTGGGACTGTGTATGAGGGCAGAGTAGTAGTTACTTTTTATTAGGCAAATGTATATTGGTAAGTGTGTTTTATGCTGGTCTGTGGCTCTGAAAACAATATCCATGAACACTTCCATTAACTATAAGTTCTTGCTTCTTCCATGCTTGAATTCACAAAGTGGTTTTCTTCCCCAAATTTATAATTACCAGCGCTTTCAGATTTCTATGAGATCAAATTTTTAAATTCATAAACACTTGGCAAAGCAAAAACACTGGGAGTGGAGTTTTCCATGCTAGCTGGAATAATTGGGACCTGTGTTCTGCAAGATTAGTTTCCTTGAAGGTGACTGCCTTGACCCAGTAATGTGTGGTGATATATTATTTTTGTTCTCTGTTCTTACACAGGTGCCAATATAGCCACAGGAGAAGAGGTAGCCATTAAGTTGGAATGTGTCAAAACGAAGCACCCACAACTCCACATCGAAAGCAAATTTTACAAGATGATGCAGGGAGGTGGTAGGTTCATAGAAGAGCAACGTTGCATTCAGGAATGATACAGCAGAAGCTGTTCTTGGATGCTGCTGGGTATAGGGGAGAGCAGGATGGTTTGGGGCCTGGTGTCTAATGCCTGCCTCTCTCCTGAATCCTAAGGGGTGTGCGTGTGTTTTCTCTCCCACCCCTGTCATTTGGTGTTTTTTAGTGGGTATCCCTTCCATTAAGTGGTGTGGTGCAGAAGGAGACTATAATGTGATGGTGATGGAACTTCTGGGACCCAGCCTGGAGGACCTCTTCAACTTCTGCTCTCGCAAATTCAGTCTCAAGACTGTTCTGCTCCTGGCAGATCAGATGGTGAGTTCTCCCGAAAAGCTTGGGTTCTTGTCCCCCCATTCCTTGTGCTACTTTAGCCCCCTGTTTTGATGCTGGCTCCCCTTCTTCACAGTGGTGGTTAGAATATTATAGTGCACAGTGGCTCTGTTTGAGTAAGGCTGATGAGAGCCTTCACAGAGGGTGTCTCAAACATTTAGAGAAGCACATGATCCTGTAGAAGGAAAAGTAGAGGGACTGTTGTGTCAAGGAAAGGAGTCAGTCTTATTCCCGGTTTCTGAAGATGATTGCGGAAGGGAGAGTGGGATGCACTGGCTGAGGGCTGGTATAACTCCTGGACAATCATGGCCTCAGAATTTGGAGTACCTCATAACACATCCATGTTCGTAACCATGGGAGAATCCTGCTTTTACTGGCTCCCACCCTGCGAGTTTTGACAAGCTCTTCCTTCAGCTGCTGGGATGTCTTGTGAATGAGCCTTGCTTTTCACTTTGAAAGTGCAGGAAACTGTGCTGGAAGAATTGCTTTAGCTCCCTGACTTCTCATTATTGCAGAGCTCTCCTATCTCCGTGTCCTCTTGCTGTGTGTTATGCAAGCAATGGATAGGATTTAAAAGTTGTATTAATTCTCCGCTCTTCCCCAACCCACTTTCAGATCAGCCGTATTGAGTACATTCATTCCAAGAATTTCATCCACCGAGATGTGAAGCCAGACAACTTCCTTATGGGGCTCGGCAAGAAAGGCAACCTAGTGTACATCATTGACTTCGGACTGGCCAAGAAGTACAGAGATGCCCGCACCCACCAACACATCCCCTACCGGGAAAACAAAAATCTGACTGGCACAGCACGCTATGCCTCTATAAACACCCATCTTGGCATTGGTGAGTCTGTCTAGAAGTTAAGTTCTGGAGGACGTGATGATGGAGAGATTCATGAAGGCATGAGTTCAGAAGTGTGTCATGACTTTGGTGTAACGCTGTGCATATAAGCAGTGTGGCAGAAATACGATCTTTAAGTGAGGGCTTTGTATGGCATTCTTAATTACCTGTGTGTGGTTATTCTAATGCTTGGTTTGGTGCCAAAGGACACGAGGCCCAGAAGAGAGAGCTCATCTTTGTCTCAGTGCTGTCCAAACAATAGGCGCTTCTCCTTTGGCTGTGGGTAGAGAGAGTCCTTTGTGATGATGTGGGTTGTTTTTGTGCTAGTTACCCAATAACCAGGATGCTAGCAAGAAAACAGCTAGATGACATGGGATGGGGGCGCACAATATATAAAGCCATTTTTGCTGGTCTGAGCTGGTAGCTTTCACCAAAACTCTAGTCAATGTTTGCAGGATTATATTGTAATCTCTACTCATGGCCCTTCAGTAATGGGATATTGGGCTAGATGAGCATCATCTCGCCACATAATAGTATAGGGCTATCACAGTTCTTTTAAGGGCCCCTTAGTTCAGCTGCATGTTTAGCAGGGAATGAAATGCTTTATTGGAAGTGTTTAGTCATGCTGGCCACATGACCACGGAAAAGTATTCGTACAGCGCTGGTTCTTCGGCTTGGAAACAGAGATGAGCACCGCCCCCTAGAGTCAGATTCAACTGTCTTTCAAGCAAGGGAAACCTTTACCTTTACCTTTTTGTTATATATGCTCCTATAGCATAGGAGCATAATTCTGAATATACTGTACATACTACAGCACTCAAATCCAGGATGCATTTCTGGACTTAGAGGGTACTGCCATCTTTGTGAGGAGCACACAGGACCCTCTTGTGAACTTCTGCTTTCCTTCCTCTGGTGACCTTTAAGGCTAAGATGTATGTGTCTCGGTAGCACAGGTATAGCAGCTTGCAGTTCTGTCTGTAGTGTTGGATATGTACAGTTACTCTTCTAGAAAAATAAAGACATTTTTCCTTTGGTATATTTTTGAAGCCCTCACCTGGATAGCCGAGGCCAGCTCGATCTCATCAGATCTTGGAAGCTAAGCAGGGTCAGCCCTGGTTAGTACTTGGATGGGAGACCACCAAGGAACTCTAGAGTTGCCATGCAGAGGCAGGCAGTGTCAGACCACCTTGAAACATCTCTTGTTTGAAAAGAGTCAATGGTGGGAGTCTCCCAACTTTTTTTGAGCCTGCAGGCACCTTTGGAATTCTGACCCAGGGTTGTCAGCGCAACCATAAAATGGCTGCCACAGGAGGTGGAACCAACCAAAAATGTGAGGTTGTGCATAACTAACAATTATTTTATTTTTTAATTTATTCTTTGGATTTATATCCCGCCCTCCCCGAAGGCTCAGGGTGGCTAACAAGAGCATAAAATGCCAGATTATAACAATAAAACAATATAAAATACAATAATACAGAGTACTACAATTAATTAAAATTAGTAAAAATAAAATCGGTGCTCCAAATACTCACTCTGAATCATACAACCAAGGTGGTGTTCTAAAGATGTTATAACTGAACCACAACAGCGATATATGTCCCCACAACCCTGTCATCCGCTAGGGACGACCCGCACCCCCGATGATACCCGCACCCACGGTGGTAGAGTGCGGTGATGGAAAGGCGTTGATGGAATAACGGCAGCGGTGGCTCCTACTCGAAATAACTCATGAACATTTCTGGCAATAGCTCTGTTTAACAGGATGCCTCTTAAAACGAATACATGGTTTAAAAATATTTCCTTACACGCACCTTCACACAGTGACAATCCTTCTGTTGTGGTAGCAGCTGCTGCCAAAGCAGCTTTTAAAAATTCTGCACAGCCAGTCAGAAGTGCTGCTGGGTAAAAGCCCCACCTGGCCCCACCCACTTCCTAAAAGCCTTTGGTGGGCACCAAGAAAGGAGTCTGTGGGTGCCGTGTTGGGGACTCCTGCTCTTGAGGGTCATCATAAGGAAGCTCTGACCTAGTGGCAAAAAAATATTTTTTTGAAATTAAGCCTTCAGTTTAATATGCTAAGTTATAAATGTTCTATATTGTTAAAGCAGTAAAACGTTTAAGTTTGATAAGAATGTGTTGCTTATGTTCCAGTTTTTCCCTAAATTTCCTTTTTTCCCAAGTGGGGGGAACATGTTGTTCTCCCCACCAAATGGCTTCAAAATTTCTTTAAAAATTGCATCTCTAATTACAAAGATGTATTTACATAGACCAGAACATGTGCATGGAGCATATCATGGGGGGGAAATGTTCACAGAAGGCTGCTTCTTACTTACTTGAATGCATAGCCTGCTCTGTCATGGGCTGATAAAAATAATTAGAAAACAAATACAAAAGCGTAGATAAGATTAATTGTACAAAACAAATACTGGGAACTGAGACTATCCAAAAATTAAATATCTTTAAACAGGGGTCATTTAGTAGAAAAAGAGGTGCAGGAGCTCATTAGCATAACTAATTAGTATAACTTATTTGTATATGCCACACACCCTGATGTCACCAGAAGTGTGTCAGAAGGTAACACCCACTGCTCAGACTCCACTGGACTGTTTTGGATTGCTAGCTTTGGGGGAGGATGCGCAGATCTGCCCTCACAGAGGAGGGAGAGCTTGTACCTGAATAAACCTTGGTCTTAAAGGTGCCACTGGACTGTTTTGGATTCCTAGCTATGGGGGGGAGGTGCAGATCAACAACTAAACTAAATATACAACAACAAAAATGACATTTTATTTTGTGAAAGTTCTGCCCTTACTTCCTAAACAGTAGCCAAAAGACTTAGTGGGCCACAGGAAAAAAAAAAAACCCAACTAACAAAGCCATTTCTTTCTCTCCTTATTCCCTCTGTCTCAAGGCTGCTAGCAATGCAGCAATCAAGTTGAGACAGAGGGCACAAACTATTCCAGTCCAATTCAAATGCACAAACTACAGATTATTCAGATATACACACATCATTTTGACAGTACTGGCCCTCATTCCTGGCTTGCACGTGCACACACACGCACACACACACACACCTCTCAAGTCTATCTATTCTTTAGGGTTGCCAAGTGGAACTTACCTTGGCGGCGGGGGACTCCCGGGTGCATCCTAAAGCGTGCGCGCTTTGAGTGTGCGCGCCGCACATACGTTACCAGGAAGTGACGTTATGACGCCGGGCACGCTGGGGGCGGGGCCACGACCATACAAGGGAAAACCATAGAGTTTTCCCTTGTATGGCTGTGGCCCCACTCCCAGCGTGCCTGGCGTCGTCACGCCACTTCTGGGTGATGTGCATGCGACGCGTGCGCACGCGCCCGGGGCCCGATCCGGCGGTGCTGGGGAACGGGCCTCTGGGGCGGGGGTTTCCTCGCCCCCTGGGGGGACTTGGGATCCCTACTATTTTTGCAGCCAGCTCCGATGAAGCCAGGATTGCATGCAAGGATTCAAAGAGGGAAATCCCCTTGGTTTTGCCAAAAGCAGGGTGTGGAAAAGTGGGGAGGTGCACAAGATACCTTCTCTTAAAACAAAAGCACGTGTTGAAGCCTCTTCCCCCCACTTCTCCAACCTGTGTCTACTGGTAGACAGTTTTTAAGAAAACACATTTTTAAGTCCCATTCTATATTTCTACAGTTTTCTATTTTCCCCCCACCCCCCCCCCCCCCCCGTACCTCGTTCTTGCTGTTTTCTATAAAGACTGCAGTGGAGTCTGCCCTTCCAGCTTGCTTTCTGCACTCTGGGGTCAGGCTTGCTCGCTTGCAGGGAGGGAAAAAGAGGGATCTGTTTTCTGTGTGCTAACCTTTCCTGGTGGGAGTTTTGCTGCAGAAGTGCGAGGGGCTGTTCCTGATGAGAACTAGGGCTCTGTAAACCATCCATTCCTCAAACGGAGATCCAGATAATGGATTGAAAGGGTGGGGCAGGAGGAAGGGGTTGGGAATAGAGAGGAAAGAGGGCGTTCCTACCACATTTAGGAATGGGAGGAGGGGAGGAAACCCTTTGAATGAGTCCAGGAGAAAAGATCCAGCAACGAGTGGGAGGAGTACAGTGTAAATAAAAAGAGTTTTCGTAAAGGGGGGAGGAGACAAGCAATTCCTGAGGAGCAGGAGCACTGCAACTTTTCCTGTAATAATCTTTTTTTCCTGATGAGCCAGTCAGATGAGGGGGAGGGGTGGGCAGGTTCTGCTAGCAGCCTTCTGGACTGGGCAGCCAGGAGGGAGGCCAGTTACTGGCTAGGACCACGGAGGAAGCGGGGAAGAAGTGGCCAGCAGCTGGGCCCCGTGCACCTTGCACTGAGGGAAAAACCCCTGGGCTGCAGACTAGAAAATAAATGGAATGCAGTCTACAGGGAACCTTGCTCCCCACCTCAGCTCTTATGCACACACAGACACACTGCCTGCCTCCCCCGACAGCACTGGCCGTGACAGACCCTCGAGGGCTGCTAGGCTGTTCTCCCGGGAGGGAAGGAGGCTGCCGGCTCCCACCCCTCTCCACATACACATGCAGGCACGCACGCGCACACACTGGGGTGCTCCGGCAGGAAAAGACCCCTGTTTAAGGTGATTAACTCTCAGGCTTTCTAGAGATCGATTAAATGTTACATTGAAAAACCACAAAGGTGTCTTTTTGAGGCTCTTGGACTATAGTTTGACCTGTAAAATGGCCATGTTGAAAGGTCTGCTTCTACAGACCAGAAAGGAACACCATCTTTACGCCTATACATTTATGCCTGGAATTAAATAATAATCACATTTTCACATTGGCTGGCCCTTCCAGAATCCTAGAGGGACTTACTTTTCGCACCAATTATGGGCAAATTTTAATCAGTTTTATTTTTACATTGATCGTGCTGATTAATCAAAGCTTTCAATCTTAAACCAGGTAGAATCCCCTGTGATGTTCTGATCACTACCATCTCTGACGGAAATGTAGAGGAAGCGTGGAAGTGGAAAATGACAGTATGATTTGCCCTACAA